GCTCTCCAAAGATCAGAATCTCTGTGCCGTCAACCGAAGATGGGTGCAACTCCAGCTCTTGCAAAACTTGAATCATGAACCGTATGAGGGTGCTGCCCAGGTCTGCATCTTTCTGGTGGCGTTTGGACAACCATGGAAAGCCCCATGGATGTTCCCTGGAGCGAATAGGCGGCGGTCCACGGCAGTTGGCGCCTCTGACCCGAGACCATGTAGAGCAAGACGGAGTGATCAGGACCACGTGATAGTAGCCCTGACGAATCTCTTGCAGCAACCGAGTCTGAAGGGACCGGTTTGTAAGGTCCCACTCTGGTGAATTCTGTATGTTTATCTCATGCACTTCAAATATCATATCTGCTTGCCGGCCCTCTTCCTGTAGGAACGTAGCCACGGATGCCTTCCTCTGCGCTCCACTAAACAAGTAGAGGACCTTGCGAAGACGTGTGCCCCTCGTTGTGCTCTTCATCGAAGGGGGAGATGAGGTTGCTCCCCCTTCTGCCTCGTTTCAAGTTCCTTGCTTGGGCTCTGCCGAGCCCGCTGTGTCCTTGCTCTTGCCCGAGCCATCACATGCATGCGAAGGGTGTGCCCCGAAGCAGATCTGGCAAACATGAAAACGGCCGCATTGGAACCTGCACCTTTCTCTTGGATTGTTCCATTTCCAGCAGATCTGACGCCCATCTGGGGTACGATCATAATATTGGCGGCCCTTCTTGCTTTTGCCTTTTCCCCCTTTCTTTCCTTTGCCTTTTCCCTTCGGCTGCTCGTAGCCCTCATTGTTCCACGAGGATCCCCAAGCCCTTGGTGGGCTGCGCGACCGATGGTAGTCGCCCCTGGCCGAAGACGATGTGTGGCTGACTGAAGTATCTCTCTTTAATAGTGGTGTCGGTCATCGCCTCCTTGAGCGCCATCGCCATGACCTCTCCCTCGTTCACCAGCTTAATCATCTGGCGTCGTACGTGGTAGTCGTACGAGAGCATCAAATCAAAATCAGGCGAGGCAACGACCGCTCCATCTTTGTCCCGGGCTTTGAGGCCGAGCACATAATCCCCCAACATCAAGTCCAAGTACTTGAGAAAGTGCTAGGGCTGGAGATCTCTAAGCGAAGCCTTCTAGGAATATTTCAACTGAGCCAGCAGGTATGCATTCGCCACCACGGCCATGCGCCTGCGGAATTCCTCTGGGTTTCGTGGTTTCTGACATTCGCCATACCCTTTCTTAATCTTCAGGGTGCCCGTGCCCTTCTCGACCGTAGCCCCCAGGATGTCTGCCTCGGCATCCTCTCTACTCAGAAACTGCACCAGGCTCATGTTCTTCATTTCGCCCTGCTCAACTTGATCGAAGATCTACTCCAAGGTGGATGCTGCTAGCGTGTTCTTGTCCTCCAGCTTCACTCCGTGCACCTTCTGAAACCGCACCAATAAGTCTTACACTTCCACCTTGTTCAATGCCCTGGGCAGGCTCGCCACGCCAGCTTCTGCTTCCGCTTTGCCGCTTTGTTCCTCACCGTCACCCTTGTGCTCGCCGACTCCCATACGTCGACCAAAGCTACGATCTCCACCACGTCTCTTATTTCATCCAAGCTGAGCACGTCTATGCATAATTTTTTCATCTTGGTCTGTTATCTGCCACTGTGCTCATCCTGCTCATAGTGCGCACCTTTGCCACGGCCAGCTTCGCCTGGAGGATCCCGTCAACCTCCTTGACTTGGAGCAAACCATGTAGATCCGCGTCAATCAACGCAATGGCATTGCGTCTCCTTTCCTCGGTATCGTGCCCGATGCCTACCATCACCGGACACTCCCGATACCTTCCGACGATCTCTCGCCGGCGCGTTCCGACCCTCCTTCTTGCTATGGGCCGAAACCTACATACAGTTCATCACACCTGGCCACAACACTCAGTCGTCAAGTCATGCCATGCACTTGCAACATCCACTCGCAGCCAGCTTCACTGCCTACCTCACCTCCTAATACCTCTTACAACACTCGACCGAACGACTCGCGAACCCCTTCGGCGTCGTCCCTTGCATTACCCCTTTGACCCCCGTGCAGGGACTTTATGTCCAAGCACCTAAACCCTCCAAAACAACACTCCCCGACCCGCCGCATTCGCGTACGCGTCTTTCGTGCTGCCCTTTGCCTTCCGCGGTGCTGTCCTGACTTCTTCACGAGATAAATCGCCTGAAAATGGTCTTTCATCCCGTGCTCTCGGGCCCTGTGCTCGTCATCTCTGAAGACGAGACTTCTCCCGAGGTCTCTTCCTCGAGAGCGTTGCTTGCCTCCGCAATCCCTTTGCGGAAGCACTGTTTACATGCCTTGTGATAGGCCGATGTACTTGGAATCTCTTCTCCAAGTACCTCGAAACTGGCGTAATAGAGGCCAGGTTGCCTGTAGCACTCCCCAATGCGATGAAGTATTTTGGTCTTTGACCGCCCCACTATAGACACTATGTACATGCCCGCGATCGTCTCGATCGGCGCCACGTCGCCAGCCTCTTCGTCCTCCCCCATGTCATTCTCTGCCAGCTCTGCTCCTTCTGCCTTGACTTCAACTGCGTCTTCCGGCTCCTCAACCAGAACCACCGGTCCTGTTGTCGTCCACTTCGGACGCCGGCGCGCACTTTGCTGCTCCCGTGCCAGGCATGAAGGACATGAGCCTCATCATCTGCTCGTCGTCCTGCGCACTGCCCATCTCTCTCAGGCGCTGTACTACCAATTGTGTGACCGTGATCTCGTCGAACGGGTCTGCATTCGCCATGTTCTCCTTGATGAACAGTGCCAAGGTACTCTGACACCTCAGCACATTGATTCGCACATTCCTCTCATACCCTTCGTCTGCCGAGGGCTTCCACCGCCCCAGCATCTTACGTATATCTTCTGGCACGCGTGCCGCCTGCGCCCATGTCCGTACTATAACTCTCTCACTATACTCTTTCCACAATACCCCCAGACCAGGCCCAAGGATGTTTCTCTTATCTCCTCCCTTTCCCATCTTGATCGAGTTGAAGAAAGCCTGCGACATGGTTGAAGCGATCGGGTAGTCCACAACCTTCCTCATGAAGCCCGAACGTCCACAACCTTCCTCATGAAGCCCGAGCGATCACGATTCGGCCATGGCAGCATGAAGTCTCTCATCTGCAAACCGGACTCCACCCCCATGGCCGACCAAAGCTTCCGTCCAACTTCGAGCCAGCTCTTCTCACTGATCCAAGCCTCACGGCTAATGTAGAAGGGCAAGAGTTAAACTCGCTTTCCCGGACCCGAGGTCTTAGATCTATTAATGACCCCCTTCAAACCAAATTCCAGGAGCTCCATAGTACGATTCGGCGTTCCTTTCGTGTCGTCGAAGCGCATGCCAGTCCACAGTTTCACCAGGCGGAACCAAGCATAAATGCGATCGTAGTTCGGCGCACCCTCATTACAGACATGCGCCTCAAAGGCCACCACTATGGAAACCGGCAGCAGCTAAGGTCCACCGATTGAAACCGTAGGGCTGCTTCCTCAAGTGCATTCTTTACTGCCGGAAATCTACACACTTGTTCTATCTCTGGAACTTCTCCAGCGTACTCCAAGAACATGAGGAATTTGTACACGGACTCTGGAAAGCTCTTCGCACAAGGTTCCTCCACCATTGCCTCCAGGAACTCCGCGAAGGACTCTCCCGTCTCCGGCCAGGGATAGCCGAAGGTCGCCTCGATCCACCTCGAGGTTTTCATCCACGTCTTGACGTGTTTTCTCAGCGTGTTCGCCCTTCGGCCTTTCGCCACACGGATCATGAGCGCCTCGTCAGTGGAGCGCCTTGCCACTGGCAGTTTCGCCTGCTTGACAATGTTCTTAATCTCCTCCACCCGTCGATCTCCCTCTTAGCTTGGCGCGAACTCTTCCTTCTTCTGCTAGATGCGCCACACTACCGCTTCCAAGAGGCTCCTATCGCAGCCCTGTAGAGTGGCCAGTCGTGTCACCGACCATCCAGCTTCCTCAAGCGTCTCAGTCTCCCAGGCACTTAGGCCCGAGAGACTGCATACAAGAGACATATCGTCTCGTGCATCCATGGCGGCGCAGCTGGATCCCTAACCTGCAGCTAGGGAGCTCGGGCCGCCACTTACCGGTCGCTACGTGACAAGCGGTGTCCTACGGACAACTTGCCATTAATATTTTTTTAGTAATTATTATTATCTTTTATTCCAATATAATTTGTAAATAATTTTAATATAAGCGAAGACTGCGGCGGCAGTCGGCAAGACCGTAAAAGAGCGGTCAAAGCATTGGCCATCAGCGAGTTTCCAGAATTGCAAGTCTTTCCCAAGGACGCATCAGGGATAGCGTCAAGGAAGCAAGAACTGGTTGCGGATGAGCAAAGTGTCTGGCGGCGTAGGGGTGGATGGTGGGTCCGAACTCAAAAGAAGAAGGCGCGCCCGCCTCAACCCACCCACTGAAGCCGAAAGTTGCAAGCTTGAAAATGAACAGCATTTTCATTTGCTACTCGAATAAAACTTAATCACTCAGGAGTGATTACCGCTTATCCTTCAATGCAAACCGCTTGCGCACACTTTTCTGGCAAGATGGGGAAGTCGCACTGGCAGCTCACTCCCCCATTTCAAGGTATCTGCCAAGCACGACTTCCAGCATAAGGGAAGCACGGGTAGACGCATTGACACCTTTCAAGAACTTGAGTGGCTCTAGATCACCGCGAGACGGTGGGTCTGCAATATTACTATGCGAAGGCACCCTTGAAAGCCACGGGCTCAAGCTTAGTCTGGCTTCTTGTTCTGCAAAGATCATGGCGAGACAGTCGACGCACAGATTGTCGGAAACACCCTTCAACAAAGCAAACTTAGAGCCCTCATTGTCAACGAAAATCACTGTCCTTGAGTTTCCTATCACTGCAGACCAAAAAGAAAAAGCAAGAACAGCAGCCAATGTTTCAGCCTCAAAAATGATCTGCTTTTTACTACGTTCACCAAGTACCTCCCGTTGCTCATCTGACAGCTCAAGCGAGAAAAACTCAACCTGCGCACGGTTTGAAGAAATCATAACTCCTCCTAGTCCACACTTCCATGCGCGCATCACTCTCGTAGCAGGCATCTGTGAAAATCAAGGTGGGACTCGAGTTTAATGCCCTCAACTCACGAGGTCTGCTAGAAACTAGGTATGCGCGAAACAACTCAAGAAAAGCTTTCTCCTTGGCCGACAGCAAAGATCGGCGATGCTCCGTGAAGCTAGACAAAACCTTTACACAACGCTTGGCTGTGCGTCCAAAAAGTTGCGCTTCAGCGAATTGCATTCGACCTCGCAATTTCTGGGCCTCTGCTCTCGTCATGCAACCCTTTGAAATTACATCCAGTAGAGCCGCGCTGATCTCTGCTACGTGGGCTTCGGTGTTTGAAATGCGACACAAGCCACTCCCTGAACATGACAGGTCGAAAATCACTCCTAAAGCTTCGCAGGTTTGGCTGAATGGCACGCACTTCCTCCCTGACTCTGCGAAAAGCCATCCCGTCAGCTTGAACAGCGCTTCTGCAGCAAGCTCTGAACTCCTCTCAAGCCCTTTGGGGGCGAACGTGATGAAATCGTCATAGAACGACGACCACATCAACTTGCATCCTACTACACCGAGGTGCCACAAAGCTCTGGCTATACGCAGGAAAGAATGCACACTTCGGACTGCTCCAAAGGGCAGCACCAAGCATTGAAAAATCTCACGATGTCCTAAGGCCGGGTTGAAGACACTTATGTGGCTGAACTTTCGACCCTCTTTGCTCAGTGCAACTTGCCGGTATGCGTTGGACAAATCGAACGCGCGCGCGAAAAGGGTCGCATCACGCTGAGAATGAGCGCACTCCTCAAGCCAACAAGTCACCAAGGCACCCGCGACGTCAACAGTATGCAACACTGGAGATTCACACACAGTTACGCAATCATTCACACCGGACTCTGAAAAGTTATCGATTAACCTGATTTTGTGCTTCTGCCTTAAACCAAAGCGCTTAGAAATTGGAGCTTCAGCAGGGACCTGCTCGGGGGCAAGAGGACCCCGCAACCAACCACACCTAACCTCATCGATAGTTTTGTCGTAGACCTCTTGGTCAATTTCACTATCACCTGAACCTGGAACCTGCAGGACTCTGTCTCTGTCAAGCTTGGCGCGCATAGCGAGCGAGTCAGGTGTTAGCAGGGCAGGTACAAACTTCGGCGGCAACAACCGCGTTTTAGGAACTTCTCCTGTCAGGTCTGCACCTAGTTGAAGCTCGTCCACTGCACCAAGGTCAGCAAAACCTGTCTCCTCAAGCATTTTCCTAAAAAGCAAATGCGCTTGGTCGAAACAGCGCTGGCTACATGCGTGTCCAAGCACCTCTTCAGCTCTTCCTCTTCCTTAGCCAAATTTGCAGCTTCACGGGTCCACTTTGCAATAAACCTGACTCTTTCTGAAGCAATTTCTGAAGACCACGTGTGTGCTGTTTGGTGTATCAGCACCTTGAGTGTCTCAGGGAGAGCTCGCTCAATTCCGTATGGGTATCTTGCCTCCAAGGCTTTCTGCGCGAATTCTGCAGGCTCCCATAAAAGAGCGAGCACTGCGGCTTTGCTGGCCGCGGCCGTACGCTCAACGTCTGGTGGGACGAGAGCTGAGCAAACACACCAAGCAATGCTCGTGTCTAACAAAACTTGCAAATGTCTTCATGGCTCCAACCCCCCACAGAGAATTCATGAAGACGTTTGAAGTGTTGAGTGCAAGGCGCAGAAGCCCAGACACAGGCCCCGGAGTCGTCGAAAAGAGCAAGGAGCCGACACTTATACTCTGGCACAAAAACAGGGCTACGAGACTTGACTGGTTGCAAGTTGGTGGCAGCCTGCGCAGCAGGGTTGGCAGATAGGGGCAGCGGCCCTTGTCTAAGACCTAAGGGGGACAAGGCGAGAAGAAAAGCATTGACAATGGCTTCACACAGAGCCCTGGAATACTGAGTCGGACAGGAGGGACCAGCACGTCGCTTGTGACCTCGCGGTACGAAACCCCGGGTTGGGTGGTCGTGGGTCCCGGGACAGACTTGGTTGACCGAGCAGACATGTGGAAAATTGGCGGCAAGGCACGTCCAATGAGGCTGTTCCCCTCCGTAGGCACATGACTGGTGAGACTGGTAGTAAATATCGCAAATGCTCTCAGCTTCAACCCAAGCAGTAACAAACCACAAAAAACTAAACTTGGGATGCTCAACCATGCAGGGTTTGCCCAGCGCAGTGCATAGGTCCATGCAATCAGCAGTGAATTGGTAGCACACATTCGCCTGCGCCACGCGAATGACATCGCTAGGCGGCAAACCCGGCAAGCCGTCGGGCAACTCAATGGACCGGAGTGGCTTGGAGACATCGGAGCCTGCAGGACTGGCAGTGCTGAAAGGCGGAGCGAGAAAAACAGCTTTCACTTCAGGCTTACGGATCCAGGCAAAGATCGTCTGCTGAACGGAAAAATCGGTGACATCTAGTTGCAAAATACTGGCGTGCGTGAATTTGGCTCGAACTTTGTCAATGGCAAGGCTGTTGGAAAAACCACGTCTTTTGAAGCAGGCAGTCAAACCTGCCGTGCCACAGAAAAGTTCAAGCACAACGACTTCGGCGGGGAAAAAATCATGAGCACCAACGTGACTGGCTAGTCACTCCTTTGGCTTCTCTTCAGATCTATGCACGTCGTTGTACGCGTGCGGCTTGTGACAACCGGCTTTGAAGCAAACACGCCTTCCCTTTTGACAGGAACCGCCGGCAGGAGCATGTGGGCAGGCGCTGATGTTGAAATTGAAACACAGTGGGCGCCCTTTGGGATCACGTCCGACGCAGCCCTCCATGCCCTTGGGTGCAGCAGTTGACCCTAGCGATTTGTGCTTTCCTTTGCCTTTGCCTTTGCCTTTGCCTTTCGGCTGCTTCTAAAACCAATCAGGCTGTTGCCACTGTTCACCTGTCTTCTGCCGCCAAGGTTGGAAAGGCGAAGCGTGCTCTTTTGGCATTGGCATCAAACAAAAGGCTGTGTGGTAATCATTCAGGGCCTTCTCAAGCGCCGCGTCTAGAGGCCGAATCCCCCCAGGCTGTGGCCGGATGTCAGGTGTGTCTTGTGACATGAACCCAAAGACCTGCCTGTCAGCGCGAACCAACTGCGTCAAAGTGGTTTGTGCAAAATTCGGAGGGGCCTCGAGGCTCAAATGTTTGAAGAGCTTTTGCACATACACTTCCTGTGCATTGTAGGAAATGAGATAGGCAAATTCGTAAGCGACGGCTCTTCGGCGAAAGCAATTCATCAGCTCAAACGCAATGTTTGCGTCAGCATCCGGCATTGTCTTAGACTCTTTCACCGAGAGTGTGTTTGAATCAAGGCGCAACCTCTTGTCCACCTTAGTGGCCACAACCTCCATTTCTCTGCTAGTGACTGGTGCATTTCTGAGGTTCGATATACTTTAGTGCTCGTGTCTCAAACTGATGGCAAGCCTCGTCGAGCAAAGTTTGAGACGGCTCTCCGGGACCCTCCAGGTGCAACCCAGGGAGCTTGGCCCGAATGTGCGCTAGGCGTACAGAGCGTTCGGCGAAGGGAATGGCCTTGGGCGTTGCAGACTCGGAGGTGGGTGCCTCCACGGCCGCCTTCAGCGAAGCTGTCACTATCACTTCAGCCTCAAAGTGAAGTCTGCGAACCGAGGCTATGGCACCTATGGATAGAGCCACTCCGGCATTCACACTTCTGAGCCATGTGTCAAAGCGGCCCTCATCGAACTCTTGTCCTGGCCGAGTGAAGGCAAAGGCCAGCTGACCTAACGTGTTGATGCCTTGGTTCTGGAGATGCGTCAACAACTCAGCAGGAACGCCGTACTCGCGCGCACGTGCTTCAAAGTGCGCGCGGCTGTCTACAAAGCTTGCCATGCGTCGAGCGCAACCCGAGATGAACGAGAAAGTCAACAGTCACCGTTGAAACTTAAACAACAAACCTCAAAAGGAAAATCAAGAAAAGCAAACAAGAAAAAGCTCAAGCACCCGTCCAAAACAACGTAAAACCTAGCCCTCGCACTGTTCACGTGCGCATCACTGTTTGTGCATTGACGCACACCTTAAGCCTCATGCTCTCGGTCGACACTCAAGGTCACCGCCATCACTGACACACATAGCGTCAGCGGCTGCAACAAGCAGCAAATAAAACAATGAACTGGGGTCAACCCAGCCCAACTTCAACAGAACAAGATGAAAACCAAAAAAAAGAATCTCTTCAAAAGACAAAAGTGCACAACTGCAGCACTGCAGCGGCATGTGACTCTTAGTCGGTACCAAAAAAAACTCACCGATCCGACCACAAGCGTGGCTGCCCAACAAAAAGGAAAACCACAAATTGCTGAACACAAGTCAGCCCCGTTCTGCACAGTGTGTGCATCTGTTTGTTGTTTTTTTCCTCGCCTATGTGTCAAAACATCGGCTGCATCTTATGCCATGCGAAGAAATAACTTTGTCGTAACTATCCGTCACCTTTCTGCCGCACCGAAGGGTCTGTCCCTCACGAAGCCTGTGCACCACTAGCGACGACCTATTGGTGTACCATGTCTGGACAGGATGCTCGAAAATCGACACGTGCATCTCTCCTTCCGCTTCCGTGATAGAGTCACTGCTTGACGTGCTCTGCTCACTATCCGACTCAGTGGTCTCAGAAGCACTTTCTTCTAGGTCGATGCAAACCGGTGAAGGCCTGAAGTGTGCATCAGACCATTGGCACACCTCCTGCTCTTCCTTTGCTGCTTCGTCACAAGCCGGCTTGCATGCACCGCTGCGAATCCCTTCAAGGACTGTGTCGAACTCGCGCAGCACCGGCGACAACAGTTCTCGTGAGTAGACAGCAGTGGCGGTCGAAACAGTCGCAGTGTGCCTTGCAAGCACGGACCTTGAGTACTCTGTAAGGCCGTACTTTGACGCCCAGGAAATGGCTGTTGACTTCAGCGAGTGAGTGGACACTCTCCTATCAACAGTTCTGGGCGCACCTAAGAGCTCACGCATGAACCTCGAACCCTCGCTGGATTCCATGTGCCTAGACGTCCAGCAGGTCGCATGCTCGTTCATGGGGGCAGGCAGCAGGGCTTGCGATCTGTCAGCAGGCATCGACAAGCCGGCAGCTCTCCGCAGCTCGGCATATTTCGTCGCCCAATTGGCGTGAACTACACCAGTGCAGGGAGCCACTATTGGCAACAGCTTGCTTTTGGTATCAGCATTTCGCGAACCCTTGTGAATTTTGATATCCACCTGCAAATATTTTTCCAAGCAATCAATGTGCCAGTTCATCACAGCGAGCATGTCTGACCATCTAGCCCTGCTGTAGAGCAAATGCAGGAGATGACCCGAAATTATCCTGTCTCCTAGGGGCTTGCTCTCATCGTGCAGGATCGCGTGGAACTTTTCAACTTCTGCTACTGTCAAAAGGTCAGCGGGCCTCCAAGGCGCTTTCTTTGACTTGAGCACAGAGCTCAAGCCTCTGATGCGTGGCGAACGTTCCACCACGTCTGCACCATTGACGCCTAGTATGAACCAGAGGAATCTAAGCTCGAGTTGCCGGCGCACCTGTTTCACGCAGGTGCCGGACATATTCCCACGCAGTCCTTTCTACTAATGGCAGCCAGTTGCCCTGGCCACTCTCTTTGCACCACTGCACATAGCCTCTTACTGAGCCTAGCCTCTTCAGCAGGGTCCCTGGACTTTTTAGTGCGAAGGTTGCGTCCAACAATTCTCTTGCAAACGCAGCAACACTAGCATGGGGCGCTTCTGCAATAACCTGTCTGCCTACAGCGCTTGCCTCCAGGTCAGTTCCTAACAACTCCCACCAGGACTGTATCGCTTGCAGTCGTTTGTTGGACCTGTCTTCTTCGTACGCAACAGAATCACCCTTTCGAACAACCTTCATGAAGATGCAAGGCGGCGGTTCTTTCGCCTTCATGTGGATTGGAATGTCACTAATTGGTGGGCAGAGGCCCCTTCATCGGCAGAAGCATGACCTAAATTTTGGACTTCTCTTGCGTGAGGCCAAATGCCAGAATGCGACTTGCCGAAATTCTCAACAATCTGCAAAAACTTGTCACTGTGCAATCCGTCACCAGGCTCTGCTGATCCAATACCACCGAAAAAATCGACCTCACTATCTTCTTCAGGGCTTGTCTCTACTCTGCATGCCTTGGACTTGCTTGCGTCAGACCAGCGTTTTCGCCAACCTGCTGTACTGGCGTTAGCACCAGTGTGCGGAAAAGAGTCGTCCAGCTCTTGTTCGGGCGCAGGCACAGTCGAGGAGTCTGCAGCTGCACCCGCAACATCAGGAGGTTCAGACTCTTGCTCCATGTGTTCAACTTTGAAGAGTCAGCACTTGCGGACAACAACGTCTCACAGAAACATCGCCTTCTGAATGCCCTGGGGCTGTTCTTCCTCAGAATTATTTCAGCTTCTGTTGTTTTTCAAAAATTGGGTCACCCCGGATTCAGGAAGTATTCAAGAGCTCGAGAAGCCTACAGTTGTGATTTATTTATTTTCTCTTTCATTCTCCAATCCCCATGGCATCCGAACTCAAAAGAAGAAGGCGCGCCCGCCTCAACCCACCCACTGAAGCCGAAAGTTGCAAGCTTGAAAATGAACAGCATTTTCATTTGCTACTCGAATAAAACTTAATCACTCAGGAGTGATTGCCGCATCTTTGTATTTTGTTTTTTTAATTTCCAATATTAATTTGAAGATGATATTAAATTTGAGACCGAGGGTAGGGGACGAAAATTGGCAGGAATATATCCGTATCAATAGAGGCGAAGCATACAACGCCGTCCAGTGGCGGAGTGAGGCAAATCTTTTTTCATAGGCATGGGGTTGTTAAAGGGACACAGCCAACCTTTGCTTATGAATCTGTTGAATCTGTTGCATCGTATCCCAAAACCTCCACGGAGGAGTTGAACCAAAGTGGATGAAAAAAGCGTGGTAGGGATCAAAGGGCCGCGGCCACGGCCATCGTGGCCAGCCCTGTTAACTCTTGAGGACAGCAGGCGGACACAACGAAGACAAGAAAAGGACACAGGGTTTGCAAGCGCGGCCAAAGGAAAGCAGGAGGACACCACGAAGGACACAATGCCAGAGTACAGCACAAGGACACACAAGAAGGCACAAGGTTCGCCAGCGCGGCCAGACGACAGCAGGAAGACACCAGGAAAACAAGAGAAAGATGCCTGGGGGACACAGGGTTCGCCAGCGCGGTGGAGGACACCACGATGACAAAAAAGGGCTGGCCAGTGAGAGAACCCCAACAGTAAACTCCCATGTCAAATGCGCTCTTAACCTCCAATCTAGTTCAAGTCCCGCTGAAGTCAGCATAGCACAGCCAAACACCTGCGACGAGCACACCACACGCAAAGCATACTGCACCCGTCCCCAACCATCCCCTAACCATGCTACCGTCAGAGGTACCTTTCCCAACCCAAAGCCTTTGTGCAGGTGTCCGATGCATGATGAGGCAGCTTTTGATGATGCACTTACTTTCGGGAAGCTTCTTCACCAAATTTCCTATGATTGGGATATCAAATTATCGTTGATCGTATGTTACATTTATTGGTTGAATTTGGATTCAGCACTATTCCATGGGTGTGTTTCTTCTGCGTAGCCAGACATTTCCCAAGCAAGCTGTCCTCTCTTGGAATGGACTTGGGGTCTGGGTGCAAAGAGGCGAGTGAAACGCTAGCCGCACATCTTTGAAATGCACTTAAAAGGTACAATGGAAGCCTTGGCCTTGCTAAAAGAACTATGCCAACGCCCAAGAAGCAGCTGTCTTCCCAAATCAATCCATTGGGGCACATGCTGGAGCCTTGGGCTTCCACCTCAGACACGCCAGCAAGAGCCAAGACATTGCACCTACATTCCATGGTTCGAGGAGGAGAGCTACAGATCTGTCCTGATGCACGTGCTGTAAGTGTGCTGCATCTTTTTTGCTTCTTCTTTTTTGCCCTGAGCATTCAAGTAGTAACTTAGTACAAATGAACGGCACTTTATAGCTGAGGGTCACACGTTTCTTGGATAAGTTTGTTTTCCTCCTTCATACACCTCACGATCAACAATGCATGCCAATCCTTGTATGTTTTCTAGCTGCTGATCTGCACACGAATTGAAAGCCCACAACTTCGTTAAGTCTTGTGGATGTCACTGCTGGTTCACTGCACTGAGTGGAAGCTAGGCATCGAAACGTTGAGTCCGATTTCATGCTAGATTAAATGTCCACACCTCTTGCCCTGTCATGAAGTCCTCCTGCGGAACCTTGAAATCACAATGATCTCGATGTCTTCAGCCGAAGTTGGACTAGGCTGCCAGCATCTAGCATCCACGTGCCCCTGACAAGTAGTGCAAATGAAAGTGCACGACCTTCAGAAATTTGAGGCATTGGCGGTTCAAAAGGTTTGGCAGTGGCCATTAGCTTTGTCCGCTGCGAATCAGCCTCATCGCTCTCTGCACACTCTCTCCAAGCCATTCTCTCTCCAACAAATGCCAGTCATAGTTCTCTTGTAATCCTAGCCCAAAATGTGTTCAGCCTTCAGCAAAAACACCTCTAAAAAAGAATTGCTCCTTTGAGGTCCTCAAAGTCTGCCTCGACCGGACTCTCTTCACGCTTTGGCTTTGGAGGAGGTGGTGGGATGCCGAAGCTGGGCACAAAAATCCGAGCGTCCTGAGTCAACACAAGTGCTTCCCAAAGCTCTTGCAAATACTACTAAGTACACATGAAATAGTCAAGTCAAGTACTTTCAGAAAGTGCTCAGAGGACCAGCACATTGGGGGGGTCGTAGCCATAGAATGGCGTTGCGGGGTTCGTTTCATGTGCAAGTTCTACACTTCTCGGTTGTTCCACATGTCTGTGCGGTGGCACGGCCACCCAAGGGTCCCTGCCGCTCTGGTCAACACTTTAAGACTTGCACTGATTTCAGTTTCTGTCTTGGAAGGATCACCTGGACAGGAAAAACTCAGGGCGTCCAGGTCTCAAGCTCCGCATGCTCCGCATGCTCCGCAGTTGGCCCGCCTCCTTCTCTGTCGCGCCACTAATGATCTCATCCTCCTCAGCAGCCCGGCAATCGACTTGCTGAAGAGCCGTTTGGGTCATTCCCTCTTTGGATGACTTTGTGTCCAAAAACTGCAGCCTTGTTGGATGATTTGTTCTTCACCTGCTCCCGCTGGGTCTTCTGGTTGGAGTAGAGGTCCAACACCTGCAAGGCTGCCATTGCTTTCCAAAGACTCCAGTCAAGTTAGTTGACCAAGCAATCTTCCGAAGCTGAACAAGCCCTCGTTTTCTTCATGCGTGTCAAGCGAATCATTTCTCTTCGGTGCAGCGACCAAAGGCATGCAGAAATTGTCTAGTAGGAAAATATTCCTGCCCCTTTGGCAAAAGAAGCGGGCCTTGTCCAATAGTTCACTGCTTGGACTGTGACCAGAAGATTCCATCCTGGCATCAGAGAGGGAAGGCATGGGTTATGGTTCATGTTGCTTGACTTTCCTCCATGCATTCTCACTACAGTAGCTCAATCCGTACTACAAGACTTTACCAGATGTGTGTTCAAACTCAAGGCCTTGGGCTGATACATATTCAGACAGCAAGCAAGCTCGCAAAACTAGGTCCCCGTGCTTCATCAGGAAGTCGCTAGAGGTCTTCAAATCCTTCGCCAGCACACTAGCCTGACAACGACTGCTCCTATCTACTATCAACAAACTCGTCGTATTCAGACCCTTAAAAGCCTAGCGTACAAAGCGTGCAGAACCGTCACCTCGATCATCAATGAAAAAGTTGCTGAGAAAATATCGACATTGGCAGCAGCCAACTGCTCGTAGAGTTCCTGGCTTCAGGAGCATTTGCGAGCATTTGCTATGGTTGCGTGGCGGCTTCGTTGACCTACAGTCTTCTATCGAAACGCAGTTGAGCGTCTGCCAAAAAAACGACTGGGAAACAAAAAGGACATGAATCAACAACAGCATACAAGAGCTATCGCTTGTGAGGAAGGAGGGCCTATGGCTTTTCGAGGTGTCATCCAACTTTCACTTTCCATCTCCCATGACCACTCTTTACTAAACTGGTCGTTGCTGGTTTTGGCAATTGCTAAGCCAAGCTGGGACGAGGCCAGGTGAGTTGCTGACATCGCTTTCATGTGGGGGAGTTCAACCTATGGGGGTAAGGCAGCCTGAAAACTTCAGCAGCGGAATCTCAACGCCTTCGACTTGCTTTCCGAAATTGAAGTCTTGAATCTTGCGAAAGTAAGAGTAGCTCGAGCTAGCCCTGCCTTTGCGACATCCACGCGCTTGAAGTTCAAGGCTCCCCGCAAGACCATCTGCGCCTGCGACGGGTGCCAATAATGCCCAAGCGATTCCTGATTACTTTGTATATACAAGTGTATATATGTGATTGATTGTGATTGCATGAAATTACAGTATATATGTATATTATACCTAGATTCTAGATGCTAAAGAAGAACAATGTTCGCAGGGTGCCTCTGCATTGGCTTTTTCGGCATTGGCTTCCGAGAGGTCTAGAACTTGCACTTGGGCCTGAACAGGGAAATCAATCGAGGGAGGGCTCACGAGGCTGTGTTGGGTCCAGCCTTCTTGTTAAAAGCCACATAGTTGAGGAAGGATTCCAGGTTCATCTTTTCCTGCGAACAAATGTATAAAAGGCTTTCCTTGTGCACCTGTGTGTCCCACTGAGTCCTTGCCTCAGATTCTTTCAATTGCACAGCACCCTGCGCCGAGGGACCATCGGCCATCACCTTGGCCAGTCACACGAGTCATATGGAGTCCAGCGAGCTTCAAATGAGCAAAGTTGATTGTTTCTATTTTCAGCCCGTGGCCCCTGCCTCCTTACTTAATTAAGTAGGCGCCTACTTAATTTAGTAAGGGACAAGCTTGTTCGCTCCTAGCTAGAACGCAGGATAGCTCACGCTTCCTTGAAGAAGCGCTCGCACTAATGATTTGGTTCCTAGACGTTTAGGAAAACTGAGCTTTGGATTCTCCAAGCTGCTACTTTCTGTTACTTTGTGCTTTTGCAACTGATGACCAATGGTGACCCATGGTCATGGTGACCTAGAATGACCGCAGGTTTTCTTCGATGTCACCTGAAACCTTGGCCCTTGCGGGACGGTGGCGCCTCAGCCTCATCGGTGACCTTGTCCTTCCTGGACCAGACCAGGAAAACGGGCAAAGCTCCAAGGACTGCGCTCCGCAGAAATCGACTCACCAACTGGTGAAAGCTCCGTGCCTTCTCGGTCTATCGGCATCACGAGCTGATCGCCTGAAGGGGAGCGCCGATCAAAGAGTGCGATCCAATTTCCTGGGACTGTGCGCCTTTGATCTTTGCCGCCAGTTCTCTCCTGCAAAGAACAAGCACCATGACAGTTGCAAAACAAGGAACAGGGAATGTGAGATAGTTCATCAGTAAACGAAATGTGGAAGCACAGAACAGCTGGACAAAAGCTTTCGGCAACGCCTCTTTCTCCTTTGTTTCGCGGCTTCTCTTTCCTCATGATGTCAAACACATCAACGTGCCGCTGCCAGCTTTCAAAGCACTCAGGATGCCAGCTGCTAATCTCAGTATCGAACCTTTGCCCCTGCCCTTCTCAGCCCCTCCAAAAAGTTGAGGAGCCTCACATTCAGCAGAGCGAAAGGTTAGGTTCAACAACCCAATGGTACTTCAATGCCACCGCTTGTTGACTGGCCGGCCTCACTTTGACTCTTGAGCGATATGGAAGCCAGCTCTTTTGGCACTGCGGTTGAATCGACGGCCTGACAAACACAGGATTCAGTAGCCAAAGTGATCCCCAAATATTCCAACCTGGCAGTACGCCATGAGCTTTCCTGAGTTCAAAGTGGAATCAATTAGCTAGGCACCACACTAACAACTGCCAAGTTGCCGCGGCTGTACTTATTCTTGCTGCTCGTGGAACTTTCGACAAACCTGTTCAAGGCTTTGGTATCCTTTGCTCCTTTCTTGGTTGATTGAACTCAGGGTCAGACGTTTGATCTTCTTTTGACGACTGCCATTTGAAGAAAATGCAAGATAGAATAATCGGTAGTACCTAAGTCAACCCACTGGAGTGTATCTAGTAATCTAGAGAATCTGCTTCATTGTGGACACTGTGGATGCTAGGGGAGGGGCAATTCGTAATGTCCAAATCAAAGCGGATGTCAGCTCCATTGTCTTGCACCTCGCAAGACACATCAATCTCAAAGGATTGACCACACAAATCAATATGAATCACCAAGGAGCGAGTAGTAGGATGGAAGCACCTCGACATCGGGCCATCAGCTAGACATAGGGCGGTCATGTCTTGCTGATTGCTGAGCAAAGCACGGTGGGCGGAGAACGCTTTGACGGCTGAAAGAGTTCGCTCCCAGGTCCTGTGAGAGAATCACCAAAACTATCCTGTAGCAACTTTCAAGAATTTCAGGAAAACTCCTGTGCCACGTTGAAGGGTTCCAACACCCCAACTACTGCGGCAACGGCTGCGCCTTACCCGGGCATGTAAGCAAGTGATCAGAATTTGGGCCTCTACACAGACTCGACTCTATCTCTACTCCTTGCCACTTTATTGAGGCCTGATATCTTGCTTGTCACGGCTTTTGCGTGTTGTATTATTCTACATATATAACTATATATACATAATATAGAATAGAAAATGAAAAATAGAAGGAAATCTCAAAGTACCAAGGCACCAGGACAGGGGCGCGCCAGTGAACGAACTGATTGAGCCGCTCGGGCGGCTGGAGCAAAACGAGCCACGGGAATCAATGTGTTCACAAACTGCCAAAAGCTTGTCAATTCAGGGAACATGTTCTTTGCAAATTGCAAGCGGCCTTCCGAGAGGCAGGTTTTGGGCTGAAAACTGGTAACATCTAGGTAACTTGTAATCATCAGTGGGTCATGGCTTGGAAACTTAGATCTAAGCAAACAACATGCATGGCGTTGAGCTGTTCCCTCTTTTCCACTGAACTGGCAGGCGGCTGGGACCGCAAACTGTGTCGCTCCATGTCGAGCTACCACTCCGCAAGGGGGTTCTGTCGGCGCATGGAAGGCCTTGGCCCGGGCCCAAGTACAAAATCTACAAACATGCAGGTCTTGAAAGCATCTCAATGGGTGTCACGGGTGTCACACACAATCTTGTCATTGCGCCGCTTGCGCGCTGCGGCCAAAGCCTGACAGCATGAAAGCTCTATTGACATCCAGTGCAATGCTTCTCACATGTGTCTGCAGCATGTCCAGAAGAAATCAGAACAGTTCAGCCTCTGAATTGCCCGTTGCAGCGATTGGATCAAAGATCTCCAGTGAATCGCGGGCCTTATTCAAGGTTCCACACAAAAGGCCACGGGTCAGGTGAAAGTTAATCATTAGAAAAGAGGATACATACAACAAAATGAACGTATACTCTGAGTCCCTATAAGTCGTCTTCCTGAACGAAGAACATTCTGTTAACTCACGCCCTTCCAACCAATGTCCAGCCATCCAAGGCCTTTTTAGCGGCAGCAATCTGGAAGGCCTTCAATGCTTTTCAGAACAGAATCCAGGTTTGCTGTGGAACACCGTGGGAAACTGTGAAGCACTTGAGCCTTGTCGCCAGATGTGTGGAACTTAAGCCCTGCACCACCCAGCCAGTCCTGGCTCATGAGCAAGCGACGATGTGTGGTCAAACAATGCTGGGTTAAGGAAGGCTTGTGGAAATGTTGTTTGTCTGATGTTGCTTCTCGATTTTGCTTTGTGTGCTGTCAAGCTTGGGTGCTGCCCAAGTAAAAGTTGCGGATTCAAGATTCTTACAGACTTTGGAGGCAAAATGTTCGTGGCGACCGCTGTCGTGCATCTTTTGCACTTCATACCAATTGGACTTGTAGGATGACAGTTCAATTCTTCAACACTGTCTCCACTTTTACTGTATTTCCGGAAGAAGTCCCTGTTTGTAGTACGCAAGGCTACCTTTTCCTGCGCTTTGCTTACTGGGACACATGCACTGGGTCACTGCAGAGGTAGCTCTTATGTGGCCAGCATCCTTACAATGCCGTGTGGAGCAACACATCCTTACGCAAAACCTTCCTGCCTGATTCATTGGAGTTCCAAAGGGCTTTGTCGTCAGCCTGCCTTGTCGGCCTCTTCATCAGCCTCTTCCCAGTACGATGCTAAGGTAGCAGGCTCTTCCTGAAACGCAGAACAAGTGTTCTTCATGTGTTTTGTCAGACTTCCCTCAATCTAGGACACAGCGATCTGCATCCTTGCATGTGGCAGCTTCTTACTAACTACTACTTTTCTACTTGGCCGACTCCGGTTTACCCCCCCTCACAGCCATCTCGCGCCTCTTTTTTGTCCTCCTCCCCCTCTTCCGGCTCATCGGGCATGAGAGTGCGCAAGCGATCCTAAGAAGCGATACCGAGTCAGCAAGGCAAAGAGCGAGAGTCGTGGTGGACGAGAGGCAAAGCTGTCGTGTCTTTTTCAAGTCTCGAATTCAGTCGCAGTCCTGCCAGCCTTTCAAACCCTCCAACAAGGCCTGAAACAAAAGCCACTGGTGACTAACTATGAAATAAAACGGAACAAACGCCAACACACTACCAAACGATTGCAATGCCACTGCTCAACAGCACTGCATTCGTGAAATCAAAGCCCTCCACCTCTGCCTGAAGCCTCCTCGCTTCTTTGCCCTTCACTTCCGGCCGGGTTTCAGCACGCGTCTTGAAACCTCTTCGCATCGCCTGACAATCTTGTCTTCTCAGAAGCATTCTTACATCTATCTATCTCTGTATAATATATGCAATCTTTTTTAATTCGGGGGGTAGGCCGTAGAGGTAGTAGGAGCTTTTTTTCGCGCGCGTTTAGGGAAACTTAACATCCTTGCATTCTCTGAAGAGCTCGAGTAAAGCAAAGCGTCACCTCCAAGGCAGAGCCTCCAAGCAGAGCGTCAGCACGTCCAAGCAGCTTAGCTGGCTTAGCTACCCCATGCTGACTTGACTGAAAACTGGAAACCTCTTGCTGCGAAAAAATAGATGCAAGAATGCACCCATTCGTCGATTCTGTCCTAAGGTCAAATACAACACAGTCACATAGCCTGACTTCTTCCTAGATGGCGCTTCTGTCGGCAGCCCATTGGCCAAGCCAACCTCAGATGTATTGATGGATTCCTGGATGACTGAATGACTTGTGTGATTGCCTAGAAATCATGCCAATATGAAAGATGTCTTGAAAGGCATACAAACCAAGGTCATTTCAACTCAACCTCAATCTCCATGGCCCCTTCACAGAAGATTCCTCGAGCCCACCAAAGGCACTAAGGCATTGGCAATATCTCGCTTCAGTTTCAGGATAGTCTGGCAGAACGATGCCCAGCACTGAAATAATCCTTGAAAGCAATGTTGGGCCTCCTGTCTCAAAGCTTCTTTGTCTTTCTTCACCGGCTTTGACGCAGTGCCCTGGGAAGATAGATTCACAAGGCTATGTCTCTTAGCAACAGCTTTGCACTGTGTACCTTTGGAGCATCAGAATCTGAGCCACCAAAATCGGGCTCACTGTCATCCTGCAAAACGAAGTCAAGCCAAACCGATTCCAGTTCTGGAAAATTACTATATAATTTATTTTTGTTGTTTTTTAACATATGGCAATTGTTGAGGAAAGGGAAAAGGTTGGTCCTCCTCCTCCTCTTCCTCTACCTCTTTGGCCTTCGCTTTGCCTCAAAATTTGTTCACTGCCAAAACTGCTGGCGGAGGGTTCCAAACCAATTGCCTTGAGACTCCCTCTGGACAGGTGTGGGCCTGAGCCAACTTGCAAATCATGAGCTAGCAAGCTTTGCATAGCAAGGTCAACAAGGTTGGACTGGAGGAAAGATGGTTTCTTCGACGTGTGGATTGAGCAAGACTCTTGCCTCTTGGCATCGCCCCTCTCCTTTGTCTCCTCCGCCGGACGTTTGCCTTGACTCGACCGCTGGACTTACCGGTTTGCTTCGCCGACTTACCGGTGCCAAGAAGCCCTCGCGAAGCTTCTTTTTCTCTGCGACCTGAGAGCATCGTGTCGACCCCGCCGGCACCTGCACCACCAGAGACGTCCTCGCACCTCTTCGGGATATGCCACGTCCTTTGAGAGTCTTGGATCATTGAGGACGTCATGCCTCAGACGTTGGCTCCACAAACTCTGGAACCTAGAACCTAGACGGACCATGGCAAACACGTTCAAACCTATACGGCGCAGAAAAAATATGAAACACGAAGTGGTACATGAAATGCCATCATGCTTGGCCCAGCACGCACTTTTGACTTTCAAACCGCCTTTCTGGGGACAGAGGCTTACATTTCACTACTGCAGGGCACAACTTCAAACTTGCCTTCGTCGTCTTCCTCTTCATCACTGCCAGCACCCTTGGCAAGTCACTCCATATTCACCACAGACCAAGCATTGGATGGAAATGAAGCTTCAGCTGTTCCTTTTGACCAGTGGATGCACACATATCATCCATAATATATGCAGAAAGTCTGCCAAGGGGCGGCAAAGGACAGAACGTTCTTCTTGTGCACAGGAGCACGTCTGCAGCGCAAGGCGTAGATGTGGATCTTCAGTGCTTTGACTCAGCTATACCGTCCGACCGGCTATGCAGCCTATGCTCGTCCTTTTCTTTCACCTGCTTTGGAACTGACACTTTGTAGCGCCTTAGTTTGGAGCACTACTTTGGAGTAGCCGTCCCGTTGCAAATATAGTGTTCCATGGATCCCAAAAGCGAGAGAGGCTCAGTACGAAGCGGCTCCAAATCACCAAAAGGATCCCACACAAGCTCGGCACGGATTATCCTGCCACTCTGTCAAATTGCTACTTGGTCGATCGATCCACTCTCTTATTCAGAGTTTAGGCAGCCGTCTAGCTGCTTAAGTTATATTAAGTTGCATCCGACCCTCTTCTCCTTGGCGGATCGGCCGGAACATCATGCTTATCCACCTGACAAAAATCTAGATTCTAAATGCTTGATGCACTGTCTTCAAGAAGAGAGGTGTTGCCATGTTGCCACGTTTAGATCCTCTTGGCCTCTACTTCGTTGAGGCGCACAAGGTTGTAGATCGTCTGACCTACGACCTGGTGGATGATTTTTAATGTGCCACAAGGCGACTCTGCACCGGTGGGCCTTGCCAAAGAGCGTATGCTTGCCATCTAAGGAAGGGAGCCGCCCCATGGCAATGAAGAACTGGCTGCCTCCCATTTTGCATGGAATTGCACTGCATCAGTCTCTGTTTATCCAAAGCCGCACCGTTGGTCTTGGTGCCACGACCAGCACTGGCCACACCCATCATGCCGCGATACCTACAAGCTGTAATAGCTCAAGTGAACTGAGAGATGCTGAGAAAATCAACAGGCATGCGAGCTCAAAATAGTTCAAAGGCCTGAACTTCAATCTCGGATGAATCTCATCAGGGTATGGGCCGCCATAGATGGATTCACAGCCATCACCAGTTCCTGTCGCCTGGCGTAGCCGAAACCACACGGCTGTGCTGCGCACCGGCTGAACCAGGGAGGGTTAACCCCAATCAGGATGGCATGACATCCCCTCCCTGGATCAGAAAGTCTTTGATCACCCTATGGAAGGTTGTGCCATTGTAGTACCTGTCACAGCACGTCAAAGCACGAACGGATAAAGTTTGCCACTCAGGGGCACACCCCTCTAAAATGAGCTGGCAGAAGTTTCTACAAGCCTGCACGAAGAGACGCATCAGAGGACAGTTTGGTCTGGAATGACAAACCACAGTTCTTCCAGCGCAAGTCCGAAACATAGTTGCAAGCTGATATTTTAACTGATAGCCTTGATATATATATATATATACCTGAGAAGGGGAGGGGACGAAAGCCAGCCTCCGGAGATTTGAATTTGTCAGCAGGGGCGAGTGCGAAAGCGCAAGGGAAGCTTTGGGAAGCACAAGGCGGGGCCAACATGATGGGCCTTCAGTCACAGGTGGGGGGGCGGGGTGCTTTTGTTCTTGTGGAGCGTTTGGAAGAGAGAAAGGGGCACCTCGACGTCAGTTAGAGCCAAGATCAAGTGAGCGTGTCACATCGGGCAAAGAGCGGCCTGTGATGGGGCAATAGGAAGCAAAAGATATAGGAGTGCCCCCCGCGTTATGCCTATCCTCCACATGAACTCGCACCCCACATGTGCCCTTTTCCGTGTGGTTAACGGGCGTCTTCACCGTAAAAAAGGGCACCCCCCAAGAAACTCGCTATGCCTGTCTCCCACATGAACTCCCACCCCATATGGGGTGCCCTTTTGCGCCTGGCTACCATGCCGCTTCACCACCCTTCCCCAACAGTGTGTTGAGAGATGGCACCTTCCTTTCACCCGAGACGCACATCTCCCTTTCCTGGAGGCTCCCACTCCTGGTAGAAAACGGTTGACATTGCCTCTCAAGCCCCTCATGATGCTAATGATGCACTCTTCGCCGTCAATTACATCACTTGCATCACAACACCCCAAAAACCATACATGTTGAATCCCATTCTGCCCGCCGTTTTTACCAGGCTCTGGGTTCGCCCTCCGAACTTGCCCACCCCCCCGCACCCCCTAATACTCACTTCGTTCGCCCATCGACAACTCCAGCCTGGCCTATCGGCTGGGTTTCGTGATATTGATATTCTAACTGTGGGTGTCACTGCCACACGCTGACAGCTTTCGATTTCGCAGCGAGCATTGAGTATCAAGTTCGCTGCTTTCGGAGTCTCGGTGGCCCAAAGCTCGATCTCCAAATCACCTGTGGCCCACAACTGAACGACTCAAAAGTGCTGGGGCCCACCATGGCCGGGGCCCACCATGGCTGGTGGTCAGAACTGCTTTGCCCTTCGTGGCCGGCTCCTGAACGCATCCCAATTCTCTCGCAACTTTCATGTCATCCCTGTGCTAGTCCTTGATGTACACTTCAGACATCAGTCGAGTGGCAAACTATGTACAGGAGATTTGCTCAAGGATTCACTGGATATATCTGGATATAGTAGGGCTTCGGGGGTCTCCATGGGACTTCGCAGCGAAAGCACGCGGATGAAAAAGAACAGAAGACCTTGTGACATCGTCTGGTGATGTCTTGTGCATGGCTCTAGTACTCTAGTTGTACATGCAAGCAGCGGTACAGGTACCGCATTTGTCGGTTTTGTTTGCAATGTCTCGTTGTGTCATCTTCGGTGTTCTTGGTGCTGTCCAAAGGCAGGCTGATAACATCAACACTAAGAGCAAGCCTGGTGCTCTTGTCAGTGATTTAGGTACAAAGTGGCTGTCAAACTTCTACACGTTGTGCGGACCATCGAAGCAAACAATCTTCCACGTTCGTTTTGTTCACTCAAATCGATAAATGCCGCAGCTGTGCAAGGTGAGACCTTTGAATCACAACTGCTTGCTCTTCTGAACTTCCAAATGGCGACCTATAGGCACGGTACTATCTACAATCTTAAAAAAGCCTTTTCAGTCAACGGTGAGCATGATTCAGTGAGCTGGAAATGCGGTCTCCTGCCGATTCAGTCATTTGTAGAAGTCCCAGGTCAAAGACCTGACCCTGGAAATCCCTGTAGATCAATCGATTCAAACGCTTTACAACACTCGTCGGTCGGGACACTCACTGGTGAATGTTGTTTCATCGGGCATACCTCCACTGGGAACCATGTGATCATGAAGCGAAGAACCTCGGCTGTAGGCAGATGCATGGCTTGGCTAGACGGAAAGCTGGCTGAGGAGAAGGCTGTTTCGACGATTGTGAGGGGTAGCCTTGGTGTTTCTTGGCTTTTGTGCTGCTGACCGCTGTCTACTTCTGCTGGAATTTGGCCAGGCTGTGAAAGTGTACCAAAAGTATTGTCTTGGTGTCCAGCAGAGCCAAGTTGTATGGAAAGGGGAGGCTGAAGTTATGCCTTGGATGCATCTGTCGGACCTCTGGCACATATGAAGTGATGGCCACTAGTAAGGACCATGCTTGAGCTGAAACCAAATGCCGAAAGCTGCCTCGGCTTCGGGGCACACTCCGGACGAAACAGCTAGGATCGCGCAGAAGTCCCAGCGAAAGTAGCATGCATTCAAGTTGCAAGGGGCAGCCCAACAAGCTCATCCAAATAGCTCTTGTCTGGATCAAACCTTGGCAGAGTTCACGGTGTCTGCTTGTTCACAGTACCCTTATATCCAAAGACATGTGCACATGCCCTCAACTTTTGCGGCTGGGAGCAAGGCTTTCGCTTGCAGCAACGACCACCAGATACCCATGAAAAGCCTAAACTCAACTCCCGCGGCTTGTCACTTATCACGTCTGTTCAGCAAGCCATTTCTTAGTGCTAGCTCCCCTGTGCCTTGGTAAGTGAGCGTGAGCACCTCGGCGACGATTGAGCCATTTAATAAAGCAAGATTGAATTATCTCTCCTTGGCCAGTCGGCAGTCACTTCCTGAGGCGCTGGCTCCGGTGCCAACCAAGCTGGCACCTCAGCTTGGTTAGTCTGAAAAGCATTCAGAGTCAGAGTTCATTCCGTATATTACATTGTCTTGCATCAAAAACAGTTTACACCTTTATCATGATCAGAAGCTGTTGGGAAGGAACACAAAAAAAGCTCCTAAGGACGGCGAAAAAGCTCCCGCCACTGGGCGCTCACGCCTAAAAGACCACTTTGCACCGCACTGATCACCTCCTGAAGCTTCCACGCCATGTGCACAGCGATTGCCTCAGGACCACATGGCGTGGAGGTCGCTGCTACAGCGTCCAAAATCCAAAAAAAGAGAGGACAAACGGAAGACTAAGTACAGGCAGGAGTTGGTACATGGAATGAATATAACAAATTGATGTCAAAAAAAAAGAATTGGCTTCGGCTCTTCTGTTTCTTCCCACCTTCAAGGTCAAGTTGATGATTTGATTGATCCACTTGTGATAGCCCTGCAAAAGTGTCCACAAGGAAGGAAAAAGAAAAAAGGGGAAAACATGTATACACGTCCTCTATTTCCCTTCTCTGCACCTTCGGCATCAACGCCACCATAATGGGTGTCACCTCGCAGCAACTACCCAAAGCTGATACTGCATTTCATCGTCCAAAATCTGAACCCAATTCGTCCGAGATTGTGTATCGCTTGATGGTATGTGGTTGCCGGCTGGATTAGCAATATGTATGGCTCATCAAGTAACTCTGCCGTTCCGTGCAATCCTGAAAACAGCTCCCATCTAGTGTCTCTGAGCTCATCGCCACAAGCGCCACTGGTTTTCGCAGAAGATCAGCGATGGAGCATGCAAGAGCAACGGTCCAAGCCTGAGACAGCCGGATGGTCTGTGCAGGAGCATTTCCGAAGCACAGACCATCCTGTCAGGTCCGAGAAGGCGACGAACTTGAATTTCAAGGACACCAACAGTCCTGAAAGTCACATGACATGTTTAAGTGATTCAAAAGTCGTTGTTGTGTTCTCTTTTTAGCCCGCTCCTACTTAATTCAGTGGACCCCCCCTACTGAATTAAGGGAGTAAGCTCCTGGCCTAGCTACTTAAGCTACACAGGAGAGCTCACGTACTAATGATTTGCTTTGATTTTTAGGAAAACTTAACTTCAAAGGTCTGAAAAACCGGAAGCTTCGATTCACAAGTGATTCACCTCTCCAACTCGGGCTTTGAAGCTCTAAGAGTGGCACCTAAGAAGCCCTGATACAGGCCAGCACAAGCCTGCAACATCAAGCAACAAACGTCTACCAATGTCTCCATAAATAAACCTGTGAAAATGAATCCGCCGAGCCTTGACGACTGTGTCAGGGTCTACAGCTTTCAACACAACTCCGGCCTGATTGGCAAAACGCGTCAGCCGAATCAGTAGAATTGCAAGACAGAGTCGCCATCTCCATCTGGCCTTATGTTGGTACCAATCCTGCCAGAAGACCCTTCTAGGCACTGAAGAATCTTGAGACGAAAGGATCCGCTCGGGGTGTGCTAGCCACTCGGCGCCGCTCCTTTGGGCTGAGTTGAGCCAGGTCGCGGCCAGCAGCCTGAGTTTGGAGACAAGCAAGACAGCTTCTCTTTTCTATTCCATGTATTTCTATGTGGTCTTTAGACCTTCCGACATGTCTTCCGTGTCTTGCATTCTGTTTCTTGCTCGCGCTCTCTCTCTCTCTCTCTCTCGCTCTCTCTCGTTCCTCGCTCTTTCCTAATCAAAGAATTCTCGGTCCTTGTCATCCTCGATGGACGCCTGATTTGCTATTTGGATGTTGGTCGCCAAGTCCTGCAAACTTCATTTTCGATTCAGTTCGACGTCAAATCGTCCTCAAGTCCTGCAGGCACAACAGCAGCTTGTCACCCCCAGTTCGGCGAAAGCACTCAACAGCTGCAATGGATGCACAAAACCTGGTCGAACGATGTCGAACTTGACTTTGAAATTCCATGACAAACAAAAGGTGTGAAAGAAACCTATCCATATGAAAGCTCAACTCCTGTCCGTGCTTGTCTGGAGGATTCGGGCCCCAGCTCACCACCAAAGAAGCAGAGTGCACACCTCAAGGGCGAAATCGACACCTCAAGGGCGTTCATGCTCTTTTTGATCAAGTTCCAGACCCATAGATCACCAGCAGCTCTTGCTTTGGGATGATCTTGTAAAGGTAGTACCTCCGAAAAAATACAGAATGCTTTCACTTATGTGCACAACTGAAGCAATCCCAAGCCAAAAGGGGCACAATGCAGTAAATGACCATATCACAATCGGAGCCTTGGATGCTGGGATTCTCGGGGGTCCGAACATAGCACTCCGAACAAGTGCCACGCTACTAGTAACAGGTGCCTTACTAGTAGTAACAAGAAGCTATTAGAAACAAGTGCATCGCTACTAGTAACAAGTGCATAGCACTCCATGAATGAGGTTCGAACAAGGATTCTCAAGATTCCCAGCGCAATCTGCAAGAGGTATCCACTGGTCTGGTCAGACAAAGCAGTATTTGGCTCTCTATAGCTCTTCCTTCGCCTTCTCCTTTTGGTTTCCCCTTCCAAAGCAAGGCCACACCTCCAGGCACTGCAAGCATCGAGGCCTCGCACAAAACATGCCCCATATGCATGGTAGGGGTAGTGGTGGAAGGGAGTGCAGAATAGACTTGAGGCCAATGAAAAAGCTTTACTGCCTCGTGACCTATTATCATCTATTATCATACCTCTGGAGATTTCACTACCGAAGTCTTGTATTGTGGGTGTTGGTCTGCGGTGGCTCTTGGTCGATGTCTGGTGATGTCTTTTCTGCTTCCGGGTGATGCTTCCGTCATCCTTCCAGGGTTTTCCTCGTCAAACGTTGTGGCTTCCTGGTGAGTCTGAGGTCATTGCGGCGGCTGAAGTGAATAGTCTTGTACAAGCCGGCTCACTAAGTCCGCCTATCGCCAATCTAACTGGACAAAAAATTGCTGGCAAATGCATGCTGCAAGCAGTTTCACACTTCCACTTCCTTCATATTCTCCTGGCCTGGCTTTGTCCTGACAGTGTGCCTTCATGGCCAGGCGCCTGATTCATGTGGACAAAAGCACTTGGACAAACATGGCAGCACTTGGTGGGCTGTGGTCGTGCCTGGCCACGCCTCTTTAACAAAGGCCGTTGCAACCTGGAGCCAGGAACGTAGAACTCCCACCACAGGGCGAGACAGGGCCAGAGAACAAAAACCTTTGCTGAGAAACAGGCTCAGGATCCATATTAAGATTCCGTGGTCTGGGCCAAACAGCTATTGTCACTGCATTCTCTTGCATGTGGCTAGAAATGAAAGTCTGCATGACATGTTAGCTGCTTGGCAGCTAAACAAACAAAACGCAAATATACAGTGAAATATGTGAAAGAAATGGTCCACAGAAATCAATATCTTACTTCGTTGAAGCATACTCAACAACCAAGTCAAGCTGTCCACGAGTCATTTCTTCAGCGATTCACTGTGATATTGCCTTTGTTTGGCTTATCTCACAGTGAAAGTGATCTCGCCCGTCTTGGACCTTGTCAAAGCGTGCCACATACTTTTGATACTTTTGAATGCTTACTTGCAAAGTGGTTCTTGGGGCAGTACGTTCTCTGAGGCACAGCTCGACAAATGCGAACCTGCTGTATTGAGCGCACCCTGCTTGTGTGTGAACGTGCTGCGACTAGTACCGTAACTAGTCATAATCGTCAATGTCATCTCATTCAGGCCTCGTTAAGTGCCGGCCAAGCTAGCCAGTCACTGTACCTTTGAGGGCAATTCCAGAGAAACATAGGAACACGAGTGTAAAGGAACACTCCGGCTCCACACGTGTCCCACCTCGTTAGGCTTTGGCCTTCCCACCAGGGCTGCCACCAAAATCCTGGCCTTGGAAACAACACCATTAATCCGCTGCCATGAATATAATATATAATATATAGTGCGCAGTGCGCATATTGTTGAACTGAGTGAAGCCTTGTGTTGCCTTCCTCTCAACCTTCACTCGTTCACTTCAGATGTTGCAGGGACATAACGAGAACACCGTGTCACTAGCTGACTGTATGGAAACTGCTCTTCTTGACATGCGCAGAAGGATGTTGCCTCGTGGGATGCCTGCAGTATCTTTGACCTAGCCGAGAAAAGGCCATGCTCCTGAGTCGAGATTGTTCTCTTTCGCTGACAATTCCAGCCAGGCTTGCCATCCACCAGCTCAATCACCGCCTCCTACATGTGACACAGCTCTACATACAGGCACTTTCAAACCTTGCTTCAGGCCTCGTCTACGCCAACTTGTTTGGAGGAGAGCCTGACCATGAGCTCAACCAAATCAACATGCCTCTGCCACTAAGTGTCACTAGGTCAGATCAAAACACAAAATGGTCAGTCTTGCCTTCGCCATGCCATAACAGCAGCATGCGTGAGAGGCAAAACCTGGACGAGGCCACAACGGCGCAAAGTAACAACCACCAAACCACGTCTGTCGTCAGATGTCTGTCGGTCAGTCTTTCAACCCGTTCAACCTGTTCGAACCACTGAAAAACTGAAAAGCAATTTGTTACTACTAGCGTGGCACTTGTTTGTACAAAGACTGGACATGCTTCAGTCTTGGACTCCCTATTCTTGCTAGGAACAAAAATGCTTCTCTTATTTGTTATTTCCCATGTTTCTTTTGTTGTTGGGGTAGGCCACAGGCGTGAAGACCAGGCGGTGTAGGAGGAATTAAGGTACTTAGTAGCAAGAGACAAGCTAGTAGCAAGGAAGTCACTAACCACCTTGATTGATGCAGAAGGGCTCGGGTTCGCATGGTGAATTTGGTTAGGTTAGATACTACTAAGTTATTAGATGCTTTAGTTTTGAGGCCGCGAGGCCTGTCCTTTTGTCCTTCCTTTCCTACTCACATTTGGCACAAGACCTGCTGTGGCTCTGGCTTCTAGCCGATAGGAGGCACTACAACGATCACCAGGCTGCAAACCCAGTTCAAGCATGTAGTCCACCTGTCCAGAACGCGGTATCTGTCGGCCCCCACTAGCAATTCCAAAAGCCAACCTCATAACCGAAGTCCCTGCCGTAGAAAGGAAACCTTGGCAAAGACCATCAAAGACCAAAAGAAAAGAACGGATCTGTCGTGCGAGTCGTGACCTCTCACGACCGAAAAACTGCTCTGCTTTACAGCTCCTTCTCAGGCTGGAAACCGCATCTCGGAGCCCGTCTCGACATAGCGCCGCTTCATCTCCTGGCCAACCCGAAAAGCGCTTGGGCAAACGGGAACGCCTCCGGTGCTTCGTCACAACCGCTGTCTCGGTCGTCTCGGCTGTCGCACCTCGCCTCGTACTTGCTGAGCGCTTGATGTCGCCGCACCTGACGTCTCCATCATCTCCTTCCCATCGGTTGATATTCTTGAACCCACCGATCAACCAATCAGTTGACCCATGATTCTTGCCTCCCAGCATGTGCTCAACACAGCCACGCTGCTGACTGCAGCAAGCCCCTTAGCGGAGAGCTACAGTTGCAAAGCATCCATGTTGGTATTCTGAAATCCTAGGATTGCAAATATCACAAGTCAGGATTATCATGAATTGTCGAATCTCTTAGGGTCCAGCGCACTTCGCAGCAGACATTGTCTAGATCAATATCTTAAAGTCATTGATGGTTGGTTCAGCGCGAAGCCATTGACTGCACTGCAGGAAACTGGAATCGTGTCCAGGAAAACCTTTATTCCCGTGGAGCAGCAAGTGGAGAGATCCTATCTATATTATATACTTGCCTATTAAAAGGTACTGAATCTCATCCCTACTGGCTGTGCGGGCCCTCTTAGTGCAAACTGTCTTCTACATTGCCTTCTCCAATTCACAATAATTACTATGCTTAAGCAGCCACCATATAGTCACATGCAGGACAAAGCATCGAATCATAGCACAACGAATAGCATCAACATGTTCTGACTTTCAAACGGCGAACATTGCAAAACCAACTTTCAACCTCCTTCTGCAGACTCCCACCCTCGTCTGTCAGCAGTATGATGACAGCGCAGTGCAAACCCTCAAAACTTTTTGAAGCCATTACATGCACTATTTGTGGTTGGTGAAACTCTTGTGAAACTAATTGCTGTATGTACATTGTAGCCCATCTGGACCACACATGTCTTTTTCACTTGAATCTTTAACTTCGTTAGAAGCTGCTCTCACCGCTCGGACAGCTGCAGGACCACCTAAAGGAAAAATAAAACGCGAAAGCAAATGGTCCAAATGTTCAAAGAACCCGAGCAATTAAGTCCAAGACCACCTGCGGCAACAAGATCTTTGTTGGTAGGTTCAGGTGGCATCTCGTCCTCTGATCGTTTCACCTCTTCCACAGATGGCACTTGAATCTGGGATTGCTCGGATTGATCTGGCGCATCGCCCGATTGCACCGGCACATCTCCTCCAGCTTCCGTATCTAGCCTATCTTCCCTCTCACTCTGAGGTTCTGAACTCCCCGACGCTTCCGGAGTCTCCAACGCTTCGTTCTGCTTTGAAAGCTCCGAGCTGTGCTCTGCTTCGCACGCGTCGCTTTGGACCTGTTCCTCGACCTCCTCAGGCTCCTCGAGTTCCACTTCAGGATCTTGCCGAATGGTCTCCGCGAGGGTTTCCAACTCAGGCTGCTCCAACTGCTCCTGATCCTGATCTTCCTCCCATTGCTGCATAGCTTCAGCCTCTTCCAAGAGTTCCAGCAGCGCGCGGCGCCTCAAACTTCAATCAGTGCTGCATTTGTTCCAAATCCGTCGTCCAGGTGCCAGGCCAATGATTCGGAAGTCGAGCCACGCCTGACTGAGAACAGGGGACAAACATGACTCACCTGACCCAAAAGCACCTGAAATAAATAAGTTTTAAAAAAAATACACCAGCATCGACCCCCAAACAGCAGCGGCAGCTTGATGTCTCATCGTGCCAGCAAACCTTGAAAGCTTTTTCTGCCTATGTTGAGCCGTGAGAGTAACAAGTGCCTTACTAGTAGTAACAAGTGCCACGCTAGTAGTAACAAGTGCCTTACTAGTATATAGTAACAATCAAGACAATTAAAGACAAAGCAGAATCGTGTCACATCCCATCACCCAAGAAGAGCCACAGGAGACAAAGGGAGAAAAGGCAGAATCATTTCAGCCACAGCCATGAAAAGCAAGGGGAACAAAGAGGGACAAAGCAGGACCATCTCAGCCCAGCATCCAGAAGAGCCAAGGAGACAAAGAATACACAAGGATACAAAAGGCCAGAATTATCTTGGCCCAGGATCGTTTCTATGCAAGAATTGAGAACCCCTCACAACTTTAAGAAAAATTGAGAATGTCTAACAATCTCACTGTTTTACTGTTTTATCATGTGTCATCTTTTCTCAAGCATGCTGAGGCATTTTCGCTCTACCAAGTCGTCTGGGACAGAGATGTCCTGGAAAAACGGCTCCTGCATGTCTTGGAAAGCTTGTTGGCTTTGGGTACTTCAAAAGTTTACCTCTGTGTTGTATCTTGTGTCCTCTATCTTATCAGCTTCGCACTGACCAGGTAGGGTTGCTTCGGTTCCTTTGCCAACGAGAGCAACTTCTGAATCTGACCACCGGTGAACACAAGAAATCGGCATTATACAGTCGGCCGTTTCTTGGTAAATGGCCTTGAGGCTCAATCCAGGGTCGTTCACGTTCACATCATGGCGCCCTCAGAATTAAGGTGTGGGCTGGGCTCGTCAAGCACCTCTGTGCTTAGATGCAAAGCCGCCAAATCCTGATAGAACCAACGACTTCCAGTAAAGTTGTCAGACATGGTCAAGAGAAGTCATTTTCCATACAGCAACTCTGCCTGTGTAGTCTCGAGCGGATTCAGCTCTTCCTTCACAGGATAAGTCTGGAAATCCTCTGCACTGCCAGCTGCTAGAAAGTGAACCAACCTTTTTGGGAGCTCGAGGAACTAGCCAGCCGTAGATGTTTGCAGCTTGTTGCTTGAATTCTTGTGCCATCTTGTGCCATGCCTTCTGTGTTGACGCCCAGGAAGGGAGTGCATCTTTGCAGAAGTTCAGGATTGGGGCCTCCAGCAGTCAGCGGAACGTTCTTCCCCCTAAACGGAGTCTTTAGACCCCACTGCGTTTGTTCTCATGTTCCTTCGCTACTAGGAGCAAGGACGCTACTAGTAGCTCCTGGCCTTACTACTAGTAGCAAGAAGCTACTAGGAGCAAAGGACATCGCTGCTAGGAGCAAGGACGCTTCGAGAAACAATCTAGATCGTGTTTGTCCGTAGCCTCACCAGCCTGCATGTCCTGTTGTGCGACTCTTTCTCCACTTGGACGGATTGCATAGACCTTGCCAAAATTGGAACAAACAATCAGATATGGTAAAGCTTTTGCATGTTTGGCTAGTCTGATCTTAAGTCTATTCTTCTCCCATCATAAATCCTCTGTCAAAGCAAAGTTGTCGACGATGGATCGCTGGGATTTCGTGGCAAGACACCTCACCACCAAGCCCTTTGATCTCCACAGTCGCCTCCTCCCATCGACGCCTCAGCATCCCGAGATGTAAAGCTCAATGCCAATCCAACAACAATACAAATCGCTGTATCGCTGGCGAAGGCGCCAAGGGCTGTTTCCACGCAAGCGACTCCCTGTCCAAACATCGTCAGTCTCTTCACCGAAAACATTTGTTGTAGCTTTGAAAACAAAACAAACAAATCACACATCACAAAGCCTCTGGTTTGTCTGCTCTTGCTCGGCAAACCTGCTCAGGACTTCACTCCAATTGCAGCCTCACTGGAATTGGAATTTCCCAACAGTCCGCACCTCCTTTCGATGCATTGGCACCAGAGAAGCAAACGCTGAAGCCTTGTTCTCGCCTTTGGCCAGGAACAATCTTTGACAATCGCTAATTACAGAATTTGCACGGAAATTGAACATAAAAGCCGTGCACCTGAGTTGATCCTGCACCTTCCCATCATTCTCTCTTTGCTGCCTGTGCGCCTGATTACGCTCCTGTGGCTGCAAAGATTAATCAACATCACGTCACATCTGGGTATGTTGCCACAAAAACTCAAAAAGCATCACAAGGCCACGAACCCAGATGCAATGCACTTGCATACTGCACACTCCAGAAAACACAGTTTGTTTTTGGTAGAAAATTGTGGAAAACATCAGGTTGGCAAGGATTGCGCTGCACTCTTACATGGCACTCTTAATCACTCTCTCTTATGGGAAACTCGTGGACTCGTGGGCGACATGTTTGTCGGACACTTTTCCGTGACACGGACGAACTTCCAGGACGCTCTTGAAAGGCGTTGGCGAGGGACACTCTCGTTTGAGGCTGAACAATTTTGCCTTGTGAACACTCTCGTGCGACAAACTTCTAGGATCTTGTAGGACACCCTGTGCGACATGTGGGCCCCCTTGCACAACGCTCTTCGCACAAGACACTCTAAATCACACACTCCTTTTAGGCGGCTCTTGTGCGGCCCTTTTGTGTGTGTGTGTGTGTGAGGCTCTGACAGGGCACCCCTGTGCCTTGCCAATCAGTCTTGCCCATTACTCTTGAAGTAAACTATTACTGAGTCGGTAGAAATGCAGCCGTTTCAGGCAAAATCGCACCGCCTCACCAGCGGAGAAAACGTACCAGGTCACTAAGGAGGTGTTTGGGTTGAGGATCAGGATCAGGCCCTTGGCAAAAGTGTGCATCAGTGCATCACTGTGCAATAGAGATTTGTGATTGAGTGGACAGTTTTACAAGGCGCTCGGGTTGCAAAGTGCTTTTGTAGGGATGTGGTAACACACCCCACATCGCCACATTTCATGTGGGAAGCGATCATTTTTTAAGAGGACCTGGACCTAGTCGCACGAAGTCGCTGCTGCTGTTCCTCACCGTGCACAAACGACAAGCACCTACCCCGAGAAGCGACAAGTTCACGCTTGACGAAATGCCGAAAGCCGACCACACGCCACGCTTAGAATGACATTGACACTTTCCAACACATATTACTCACAAAAAGCAAATCCCAACGCAAACTGCAGACCCCACAAAATGAAGCACCTGCGAAGCAAAGCGCGGCAATCTGAAGCGATCTCGAAAAAAAAGAAAAAACCGCCTTCAGACATCTTCGTATATACTTAAGTCACCTTCCACTGTGTAACATGAAGATATGAGACCTCCTTTCGCTACTAGGGTGGAGGCCATCGCTAGCAGGCCATTAGGCTATTAGTACATGAATATAAGACCTCCTCCATCCAAAACCTCCTCCCGGCCATCTTTGGATACGGCATGCGGTGCGTCCTTTGGCTTCCGAACGACCAACGATCCACTGGCACTTTTGGAAGCGGAACTCACGACCAACGATCGGCGAAACCATCAAAGGAAGAAGCCTCCGCTATTCGTCTCACTCGTTTCCCAGGAGTAATCATTGCAAATGCTATCTCCCTGTCCTGCAGCTTTTGCAAATATGCCCTATGCTGCACTTCATGTTTTGGCACAGGCAAGCCAGGCTGCCCAGACACTCCTGTAGATCTCTTGCCCAGAATTTGACTGTTCGCAAGACGTCGTGGTCGAGAAACTAGTGAAACTTAGCGTCAACCACTACCCGATCCAACCATCAAAGAAGCGCCACTCGTTCGCTCGTCCGTTCGTCCAAGCGCAGCCAAAGGTCGGGCTTCGAGCACCGATTGCAACAATGGCATTGCACCGGGTGTGATGATGTGAAACTGTGTTCAACTTGGCTGCCAAGTCAAGACGTGCTCATTGGAGCGACTGTAATTGATCAATGTCAGCAGCAGTAAGCGTGCCAAATCAAGGTTGCTTTGAGAGTGGAACAAATTCACTTGCTGTTGACAAGCTACGTGCTTGGAGGGATTGAAGACTGGATGATTCTAGCAGAATTGTTTTACTTTGATTTCTTGAGACTTGCCCGCACGGGAACAACACAACTGCTGACAGCTTCACACCCAAATATCTACCGCTTCAGCATTCAAGTGCAAGAAACTGTCTTTTAAACGAGCAAGCACTACGGACGCAGCTTTTGACATCACGAGCGGGCATGCTGTACAGGACTCCAGTTGACCACGCAGCCCATCGCCTTGGAGCAAGCAAAGCTTCAAGAAACCAAAGAAGCAAAGGCAAAAAGCAACACAAAGAAAAGTCAGAACCTCCGGAGCTTCCTGTCCATCCAATGCATGTCCCGTTGAATTGCTCGACATTCAGGGCCAACTAATAGGTTGAAGGCCATTGCTAGTAGGTTCCTTTTAAAAGTTTGCAAGCGAACGACAGTTGCCCTCCTTGTCAATATCCGGCTTTTCGCGATTAGGACCTCCCTACGTCAGCTGGCTGCTCACCACTGACCCACGCAATCGGTATAGAATTGCATGACCACTGAGATGTTGGTGCCATTGCAAGCAAAACGGTGCGGCAGCACTGGGCCTTGCTTGAGCTTAAATGTGGAAAGCCTGGGTCAGAAAACACACTGGCCATTCCGCATCTGGCTATCCGGCACAGCAACAATGAAACGAGTGGGTATTCAAGAGCACCAAGACAAACAACTGTATAGTATGATGGTGCTCTTATCTGCCCGGATCGTTGCAGTACACGCACTTACAGTGGGCACTTGACAACTCACGAACTTCGGCGCAATCGGCCTGTGAAGGTCATGACAGATTGAACTGTTGACCTACGCTCGTGAAACAAACCTGGTCGACATCGGAGAAACCAGCGGCTGGTGCAAACATGGACACACGCCAGCCGGAAGATGCGGCATGAGCGTGAAAGTTCAAGAGCGCACACATGCAAGGGCGCACGTGCGACTCTCCTTGCCATGTCACGACGGTGGTACTATAAAGGTATAATTAGTGGTACATCGCTCGAAACGCTGGCATTCCCAGCCTGTCGGACCTGTCTTACCAGGCTGATCTATATAACTCCACGCTTGCTCAAACAGAATGAAGCCTTGCCAACGAAATGATATTGGAACAAATTGAAACATGACACTTGTTGTGAGAGCACTGCTCCACTTCTCTTCATTCCTCTCCCTTTGCTGGTTGCCACACGAACGGCGGGGCGGCATCTCCAAAAGTAACGTGTGTTATCTATATGGCATGAAAAAATTACAGGTCTTATAATGTCTTATATAATAAGTGTTTAGAATGGACCGTTGGACTCCAGCACATCATAACGAAACTCCTCAACTGCGGACAAACAGAGATTTGAACATCTTAGAGCTCCCCGGAACACCTAAAGCGTGGTACACGGTTGAGATCCACGATCTCGCGAGAAATAGACGCCTTGAATCACAGGTCTTGGGCAGCGACCACAGGCGTTGAGCGTCGGAACCGCAAGCACCCCCAGCACTGCGCCTGCCGGGATTTTTGGGGAAGACTGGCACTGTGCAACCCTTGGACCCGGAATGCGAGTGGCAGCTCAAACAGCGCAAATCCCCAGGTCCGTTTTTCGGCCCTCGCGTTGAAATCTCAAAGGCGACATCTATCTACTCGACATATCTGACAGCCTGTTTGCGTTTGAAACATCTCACACCATCAAGAGTTGTTCCTCCATTCCAAGTTTTTTCATGGCTTCTCGGAGGATTTCTTCGTCAGTCGGAAGCTTGGCAACCGTGAGGGCTCCGAATTGACTTTCACATGAGCCGGAGATGTTGCCGCTGGGTGTGAAGTATCGGTTCCGGTACATGTTTTTCAGGCAGGTACCCACTTCATCACCCGTCATCACCACATAGTTGCCGTAAAAAGAATCCTCGTGTTTTGGAAGTGTTTCGCAAACACCCAAGGCTTGCCCAACATATGCATCCACATTATCATAATGATGGTTGTCATGGCCTCCAAAGTCATTCTTCATCGCCTGGCGTCCGTAAACAAGAAAATTGTCATGAGTCTTGTAGTAACAGCTCCCATCATCATTGTCCACATCTTCCTGGGGTGAGTAGTTGTCGATAAAAAAAATTGTGGTGAATCGACCGCCACTGCATTATCATGGAAGGTTTTCCAGTCCGAATGTTGGTGAAGAACGGCTGTCGGTCCCATGAATTGAAGGGGCCGTGATCTCCACTTTCTCGACACGTGGAAAACACCAGGTTGTGTGCAATCTCATCGCCGCCACCAAAACCATCATTCATGTTAATGCCTGCCCGAGGACCTTGGATGCTGGCCCAGTGATAGAGAGGGGTGGCGGATCAAAACACAAAGTCAAAATCGATCAAACGGAAATAAACCGAAAATTAAAAGAAGGGCACTAATGGCCCGAAAGCCTGGAAACACGAGCACGCCAGTATTTAGGCGCACGGTAAATCATAGGAATTTTTTCAATGGTATACAGTCAATGGCCTAAGTGTACCTGGCACTCAGGCAAATTAGTTGATCTAAGCCACCCGCGCGCTATAGACATTATAGACTGGATACAACAACGTAACACCAAGCATCGTGTGTGCAGTGAGTCATCCCGCCCCGCAGCGACACACGAAACTTATAATACCACCATGTATTCCTTCCCCCAGTGACGCGGACTCACGAAAAAAAACACTTTGCACCGAGGTCCCGCAAAACCGCGTGGCACAGCGAATCACACACGTAATTTCGTCACACGGTGTGCTACAGACTAAATAACACCAAGCCTCGTGGACACCGCCAACCTTCCCGCTCCCCACAACACGCCGAATTTACACCAGCATATTTTCCTTCCCCTCACGCAAACGCACTTTCCACCGAGGCCGTGCAAAACTGCATGGCAAAGCGACATCACAGACGTAAATTATCCACGGTGTGCAACAGACTAGATACAGCAATGTAACACCAAGCCTCGTGGACAGATCTTCCCGCTCCCCAGCGGCACGGACTTGCGCAAACGTTCGGTGCAAAATGCAAGGCGCAGCGACGCCACAAACGTAATTTTGTCACCCGGTGCGCCACAGACTATAGACGCAACAATATAAGACCACAATATAAGACCAAGCCTCATGGGTGGAATCTCTTGGACACACCAACCTTCCCGTTTTTTAGAGCAACACGCCAAATTCAAATCTACACCTGCGCGTTTTCCTTCCCCCGGTGGCGCAGGCTCACGCAAACACACTTCCACCGAACCCCACACAAAACCGCGTGGCACAGCGACATCACAGACGTAATTTAGCCACACAGTGTGCCACAGACTAGCTTCCTGCGCAGCGTTGCATTCGCACTACAAGTGGCCAGTTCACATCCCTCGTCCGCCGTGGCATCGCAGTCGCTTCACAGGTCGCGGGGTTTTTGTTTACACAGCCGGGGGCTCTTCACGCGACCTCCATGACCGCGATGGGGCTCCTTGGGCTTTGCCCTTCCCATTGACTTTTCTTATCTTTTCTCTTCTCTTTCCTTTTTCTCTTCTCTTTTCTTATCTCTTTTCTTTTCCCTTCTCTTCTCTTTTCTCTTCTCTTCTTTCTTCTTGTTTTCTTGTGTATCTATCTTGTCATCTTGTCTTCTCTTCTTTCTTCTCTTTCTTCTTCTTTCTCTTGCCTTTTCTCTGCTCTCTTCCTTTTTCATCTTTTCTCTTCTCTTCTCTGGTCTCTCCTCTTCTCCTCCCCTTTCAAAACGTTTCAATTTGTTTGGTTCAGCTTTATTCTGTAGTGTCAACCCAAAGGTCTAAGGTGTGGTCTGTTACATCCCTTGACAGCTTCCAGCTTTTCGACAGCAGTTGCACACTTCAGCGACGAAATTTGCATTTCACCTCACGTTTGAGCACTCCACACGCACAATCTCCGCAGAGGGCTCACCGCATAACCCAAAAATTTGCTTTTCGCCTCACGTTCGGGCGCTTGACACGCACTCCCCAAAGGGTTCATCGCAGCACGCCAGAATTCGCATTTCACCTCATGTTTGAGCGCTCGACACACGATCTCCGCAAAGGGTCACGTTCCGCAAGCCCTGTCCGGCCAGGCCCCCCTAAGAAACAACAGATAAAGAGTCGAGATGCGTCAAGCACGGACGAACCAACATATGCTTTAGTCTCTTTACCCTTGCATTTAAAACTTTACTTAAGCAAGACCCCAGCGAAAGTCATACTTGACTTTACTTAAGCAAGACCTCAGCAAAAGTTCTCCCAGCAACTCGCCCAAGCAAGGTCCCAGCACCACAGCAATTCACCCAAGCAAGATCCCAGCACCAAAGCAATGCTGGCGTAGCAGCAGCTTTGCACAACCATACCTGCAAGCTGCAGATATACTTGTAGCATACATATTGTAGCATACCTACAAATGCAGCTATATAAGTTGCAAATGTGTTACCACCTCCTTAGCAGCAGCTCTAGAAGACCACACCTGCAAGCTGCAGATGTACTTACAGCATGCATACAACTGCAGCTATATAAATCCCAAATGTATTCATCCAGATGCGTTACGCAAAAGACTTCTGCAGAAGAACCCTTCGGAACGCTCCCGGGCAAAAAATACGGATCAACAACAAAGCAAAATCCAG